ATTTAATTTGGCAGGTACACTTTTGTAATTTCAAAATTGTACGAGTTTGGTTTTTGACAGATTTACTTTTAAGTTTATTGACTTCACCCAATTAGTAACTATTTTTATGTTTTTTTTTATTTCATTTTCATAATCAGAATCATTTTAGTCATCATTAGAAATAAATATAGTTGCATCATCGGCATATATTACGCATAGGTGTGTAATTATTTGGGAGATCATTAATATATAATAAAAATAAAGGAGGCCCCTATATGCTGCCTTGGGGTACACCCAGTATTACATTTTCAAATTCAGATTTAACTACCTCAACCATTTTTGTAGATTCATTATATATCTCGATAACAGTTGCTTGCATTCTATTATTTAAATAATTTTCTATTAATTTAAGTGATAGTCCTCTTATTCCTATGACTTCTAATTTATTTAACAAAGTGTCGTATTTTACACAGTCAAACGGTTTTGACATATCAATAAAAAGAGCAGAACATTGTTTTTTATCATTGATTTTATGCCAAATGCTATTAAATAGTTTATATATTGCCAGAAATGTAGTTTTATTCTTTTGAAATCCGTATTGGTTTTTATTTAGAATATTATTAATATCCAAAAACTTTGTGATTCTGATATATAGTACTTTTTCAAATATTTTCGAAAAACTTGGTAATATTGCAATTAGTTTATAGTTATTTATGTCGTGCCGTGATTTTTATAAAATGTCTTTATGAGAGCTTTTTTCAACGTGTTAGAAAATTCTCCTGTTTCCAACATTATGTTTATGATATGTACAAGCGGGTCAGCAATAAAGGATATGCTTTCTTTGATTACTCTAATGGGTATATTATCATATCCGTAGCTGGGTTTGTTTTTTAATTTTTTAACTATGTGTATTATTTCACACTTATCTACTGGATAAAGGAACATACTTTTCAAGTTAGAACTGTGTTGTGGCTTATGATTATTTGATTTTAATGTGCTACAGTTTTGGTTAATATAGTGATGGTTGAAAGTACTTGCTAGCTTTGTAGGTGACTTTATAACATTGTCGTTTTGCACTATGTAGTCTATTGTAGGCTGAATTACATTTGTGATTTGAGTTTGTCGTTTAATTAATGTCCATGTTGCCTTAGTTTTGTTTTTACTATATGAGATGTATTTAGCGTTAGAAATTCTTTTGGACTCTTTTATTACACGCTTTAGGATTTTACAGCAGCGAACGTATTTAATTTTTAATTCCTGCGAGCCACTATATTTTGTTTGAAGGTACATTTTACGTTTACTCTTACTTGAGTCTATGATACCTTTGGTTTTCCAGGATGTATCTTTTTTATACCATATTTTAACTTGTATTATACAAGTTTAAATAATGAATAAATTCTTCATAAGCTCTGTTTACATCATTATAGTGATACACGTCCTCAAATTTTATTTGAGAGTTGTATTTTAAAAATATTTCAATGTAATAATTTATGTTACTTTTCATTTTGTACCAGTATTTTTTTCTGAAACTTACACTGCAAGGTATCTTTATAACTTGGCCTGTATGGTCTGATATACCCAAATCCCATATTTCAGCTTTGTATTTACGAATATTTGTGACGATGTTATGAATGCAGTTTCCAGAATGTGATGTTAATCGAGTTGGTTCATTTAAGGTTCGGTGCAAATTATGTTTTTTTTAAAGTGTTTTTAAATAACTCACTTTTGCTGGAACAGATTAGTGTATCTATATTAAAGTCACCCAGAATAAATATTTTTTTATTCATGGATCTTAATCTGATAGTAAGTTAAAATAATAATATCTCAAGTTTTTCAATAAATAGATTAATATTATTGTTAGGCATTCTGGACATACATAATATATACGAATTTGTTTCTGGAATTATTATACCACAGCACTCAAAGTGATTTTCAACAGCTAGTTCAGAAATCCAGTCAATTTTTTTGTAGTTAATTGAGTTTTTAACAGAAATTCATACACTACCTCGAGATATATTTTTCTTGAGAAATAAGTTGCCATTTTATAGTTTGATAACTGTAGTATATCTCTATTTTTATCTCGGAAGAACGTTTCATTTAGACAAAGAACGTCAATGTTTCTTGAATCTACTAACAATTCTAAATCACAAATTTTTGATCTTATGCCTTGTATATTATTGTGTAGTATTGTAAAGTTGTTAGTCTCAAAACAAATGATTTTCCGTTTGAGTTTCGACTGATAATAAATTAGGTTGCAGTAACAGATCTGTCTGCGTGGAAGTTGATATTGTGTTTTTTCTTAATATTTTGCCTATTAGACTCGATGTAATGTTTATAATTATAAGAATAATTTAAATGCAATATTTTCAATAGAACTAATCTACATAGTATCACAAAGAATGAAGTATATGGAACTTTATAGTCTATGTTACTGTGATTACACTGGGAACAGATGTGGTGGAATGTTTTACAAAGTTTTATCTCACTTAAGAACCTACCTCTTTTTGTATTACAGAGTAACACAACAACAGTATGTGCTAGTTTATCCAAATGAAAATATAGGGTTTATTATAACCTTAAGGACGCGTTTGCAAATCAACCAAAATTAGGGTGTTTTTCGGTAGATTTTGTGACAAAACTAAACCAAATCAAACATAAGTAAAAACTACATGTATAGATTGGTTCTTCATCTGCAAACGTCTGTAACTCTTTTGTTGAAAATAGTAGTTTTTTATATTGTAAAAACGAACTTTCGTTGCCATTTTCTACAAAATTAACGATACCGGCTTGTGTTTCGGTACATGTTTTGGTCTATTATCAACATATTTAAAAAAATTTAAAAAATACTATAAGATGACAGACATATTCAATTAAAAAACCCTGGGTTTATTTTTTTAACAAAATGTCACAAATAGTCCAAAAAAAAAATAAAAACTGATGCACATTTTTTCACATATTTTGGTAATACGGATGAATCATAATCTATTGCAATAAGGGCTATTTTATTGTTGGTGCCTGCTTTGATTTATTGTACAAAGATTTTGATGAAACCACGGTCCGCGCTCGGCCGCCGTCGTGAGTGGACAATGTATCGCCTGTTTGCAGCGGCTCATTCTGAAAAGATCGCTGTACATACACAAAATATTAGAAAAAAACAAATTGGAAACATAAGTACTTGACAAGGGATAAAATTATTATTTTTATACTCACAGTTTTTTATTTAGCTAAAAATAAGTAGGATATATAAACTTACCTACTACTGCAACTCCTGGACGAGCGGAACTAGGTGTGCCGAGTTTGGGCTGGTTTTGTTGGTTATGATGAGACCTTACCTCCGGACTTGATGGCGTGACCTGAAGGTGTACTTTCGTGACCGCTATTTCAACTTCTTGCAGAGTAAAACTTGGGGTAGCGAATTTGGGCTCCGTTTTGTTAGTTATGACGAGTCCATACCTCCGGACTTGATGGAGTGACCTGAAGGTGTAAATCGGTGATTGCAACTGGAACTCCTAGACTGGTAGACTAGCCAGTTAAAATTACCAGGACTGAAACCGAAAGTATTCCGATTACATGACTCCTAACTAGGACTAGGTGTGCCGAGTTTGGTTTCGTTTTGTTAGTTATGATGAGACCTTACCACCAGACTTGATAGAGTGACCTGAAGGGGTAATTCAGTAACTACTGCTGGAATTTCTGAACGAGTAGAACTAGGTGTGCCGAATTTGGGCTTCGTTTTGTTAGTTATGACGAGTCCATACCTCCGGACTTGATGGAGTGACCTGAAGGTGTAAATCGGTGATTGCAACTGGAACTCCTAGACTGGTGGAACTAGGTGTGCCGAGTTTGGGTTCGTTTTGTAGGTTATGATGAGACCTTACCACCAGACTTGATGGAGTGATCTGAAGGTGTAGTTCAGTAATTACAAGTGGAACTCCTAGACTTGTAGAACTAGGTGTGCCGAGTTTGGGTTCGTTTTGTTAGTTACGATGAGACCTTACCACCGGACTTGATTGAGTGACCTGGTCGGTCTCATCATAACTAACAAAACGAACCCAAACTCGGCACTCCTAGTTCTACCAGTCTAGGAGTTCCAGTTACAATCACCGATTTACACCTTCAGGTCACTCCATCAAGTCCGGAGGTATGGACTCGTCATAACTAACAAAACGGAGCCCAAATTCAGCACACCTAGTTCTACTCGTTCAGAAATTCCAGCAGTAGTTACTGAATTACCCCTTCAGGTCACTCCATCAAGACTGGTGGTAAGGTTTCATCATAACTAACAAACCGAGCCCAAACTCGGCACACCTAGTTCGACTAGTCTAGGAGTTCCTCTTGTACTCACCGAATTACACCTTCAGGTCACTCCATCAAGTCCGGTGGTAAGGTCTCATCATAACCAACAAAACGAACCCAAACTCGGCACACCCAGTTCCACTAGTCTAGGAGTTCCTGTTGTAATCACCAAATTACACCTTCAGGTCACTCCATCAAGTCCGCAGGTAGGTAAGGTCTTATTATAACTGACAAAACCAGTTCAAAGTCCAGAGCTAACATCTCACTACCAGTAGAGGGCTTCCAGTGAAAAGCAGTCTTTGGAGCAGGTATTCATATTTCGTATCGAAGTATATTTCTGAGGTAGGTATAAGAAATGAAAAACAAATTAAATCTTTCAAATTATCAAAATAATTTCATTTGACTACGATTCCCACAGCCAACCGTGCATACACTAGTGTGTGTGTGACTTTTGTCAATGTAGTAGTGCGATTCTATACCTATCCATTTTGTAAACGCGTCCTTAATGGATCCTTATCATTATTACCGCACACAATTACAACATAATCGAATTTATTATAGTCTTTACATAGTTCAAGAGATGATTCAAGTAGTTTGTTAGTCGTTGCACTAGGTTTGCTTAAAGTTGTCACGGTGAAGTTAGTTCCGATTAGATTTTGTAGCATATTTTTTATACGTGTATGTCCGTCCGAAAATATTAGAACTCTATTCCTGTAACATATTGTTTACTGTTGACGGGGCTGATGTTGCTGTGACTCTATCAGGGGTTGATTATTTGCTTCACATTCATCATTTTCCTCTCGCTGAGGTATTTCTAGTGCAGAAGAATTGCATGTCCTCTCCTTATGTTGAGTGTTCCTAATCGGATTCTCAGTAGTGTTCTCAAGGTTGATATTCTTATAACATATTGTTTTATTAAAGATTGGGTTTACTGTTAAGGGGACTGGTGTTGACTGTGACTCTGCCAGGTGCTGATTATTATTTGCTTCACATTCATCATTTTTCTCTCGCTGAGGCGTATCAAATATAGGAGAATTACATGTCCTCTCCTTATGTTGAGTGTTCGTAATCGGAGTCTCAGTAACGTTCTCAAGGTTGATATCCAATTCGCTATAACTCTCATTTAAATTTAAGGTAGTTTTTATAAAGTCACACTTTGACTTCATAGATTTGTTGCATTTTTTTAAGGATAATTTACTGTTATTAATACTGCAAGAATCCGAACACAGTAACTTAAGTCTTTCTATTTTAGTTGTTTGAGAAGTAGTTATTTATTGAAGAGTGTGGTTTTCCAAGTTCAAGTTGTTAACCTCATCCTGGGTTCTTTGTAAATCCATTCTTAGTTGTATTATTTCACTTTTCAGCACTTTCACTTCATGATTAAGCAATAACTTCGATAAATCTGGTAAGCTTTGTGCGCTCTCTGAGAGATAAATGCTTGAAGAGGTGTTTAAGAAATTATTCTTATAGCTGCTATAACTGCTTTTACCTTTTGGCTATTTGCGTCTTTGCGTGATGTTTCTATTACCGGAATCCATTATTTACATCAACGAAATAAAGTGTTTTAAAAGATATTGTAAGATAGTTGATCGGTCACGCACTCTTTGGAACTTGAGTTTATACGTACGTATGCTATGTTACTGCTAGTTTTCGTTTTTATCTGTGTGCTGTTTAACTGTTAGAATTTCGCTAGGATTATTACAGAATTATTTTTACTTTACTAATTATTAAATTTTCTTTTATTATGACATAGAGTCGAGGGTTCTTCTTGGCAAATTCGTTATTTATAATCTTAATGTTTAAAGCAAGCGAAATTTTTATCTTCAATCTATTATTTAAAATTTTTTAAAGACTCACAAAAAGATCCTTCGATTAACGAGATACGAACTCACGGTTTCTCGTGCGGTACTTTGTACGGTTGAAATTGTCGAGCACTTGCTGCTTACTGTTATTTAAAACGCACAAAGATCGTTATTATGATTCATGCTGCAAAAATTTATTGCACTATCGACACTAATCACTGTTATTATTTTGTGTGTATTGTAATGTTTTTTTTATTTTTTTTCACTGTATATGGTCACTTTCCACTTTTTTCAGTGTTATTACTTTTTTATTTAGTTCTTATTAATATCACTAAAACTTATAGCCGAATAAAAAGATTTATTTTTTTAAATTGCTATTTTTATGTGTAAATTTATCAGAATTACGTAGATAACATCGACATTAACGAGCTCACGGACGACTCGAGACTTCAAAGAAATTTCTAAGATTTTTTTTTTGTCATAGAGTTCAAATTACTATATTATGACACCAATAACAAATCTTTACATAATTATTAAAGTAGGTCGCTTATATAACACTAACATAACAACGTCGCACTTTAACTTTAGAGGAGTTAAAGCAACGAAACGCCAAAAACGGTGGTTTTATAATATTTCTCTCCATCTTATTGAAAATTATCTCCATAGTTTGTGCCAAATATTGTGGTATCAGGAATTTAGACGTTGATAATTTCAAGTAGTTGAGAAACTAGAATGTCTAGGCAGTACTGTTGTCACTGGTCTTTACAATATCTATCGATGAGTAAATCATTGGCAAGTCAAATATTTATTTAAGTTTTTTTATTCTTGGCATCTATTATTGTTATGGCATTGCCCTTTCATATAATCAATATTCATAATTCTATTTATATACTTATAGCTGATATTATTATTAATTAAATATAGGAAAACGTGAGCAATAAGTTTGTTTTCTACTGCCGCTATCTCTAGTTCTAGTCTCTAATTGGTGTTATAGTCAATATTTTCCGATCGATAAGAAATGTAATTTTTCTACCTTAAACTAGAGTAGTGACGCCTTTAAATTCGTTCATTTAATCCGCCGGTGTACCACTCTTAATAATGGTCGCCTGCGAGCCTAGCGACAACACCACTATTCCGATCCTGCAGGTTGCGGCTTAACGCCTGTACCCTGTACCCTGCGCTGGTATGTGCACTTATTACCAAGCTATCAACTTGCATTGTAGTAAGAGAGTGCCACAGCCGCTACTCTTACAGATGTTGCACGTTAGCGTTTTTTGGCTTGCGAGAATTGGTGAAGATTTTTTTATTTGGCTATGCATAAGCATTTCATACGTACTGAAACGAATCATAACAGAAAACAAAAGACTTCTTGATTATAGATATCCGACATAAGGCGAATCCTTCCTCAACGGGAAAACCTCAAGTCTAGCAATAAACACATGTAATTTTATTATTAGTACCTGCATTGTTTTATAGAAAAGTGGGCAAACGAGCATATGGGTCACCTGATGGTAAGTGATTGCCATGAACAAGTGCAACGCTAGGGGGCAGGTGCGTTGCTGATTTTTGCCTTTTAAGAAGAAGTAGGCTCTTGTCTTAAAGGTCCCTAAGTCGTATCGGTCCGGAAAAACTTTGATGTTAGTCTATTCCACAAGGAAGTTGTGCGAGGAAGAAAACTTCTTTTAAATTGGACAGTGGTGGACCTCCAGTCATCCAGACGTTATGTCTGCAAGTAGGCAATAATAGTGCGATATGTTTAACCAGATAGTAAGTGGCTACTGAAGTCTAAAGACACTAGTAGAAAATTCCAAACAAAGAAAGCTTTAGCATTTCGTTTGTGTTTCTACTGTATCTAATTTTACTCTCAATAACCTCCAGACAGAAAAACAGCAGTAAAATTTAGAGTTAAAATAGGTGTAAGGATGGTAACTACCCCGCTATGTTATAGTTGTGTCAGAAATGGGTCGGTCCGATCGTGAAAAGATCACGCTCTCACAGAATACCAGTGTAAATCAGCAGCATAATGTTTCTGTGTTTCGTATGGTGAGTGAAGAACCGGAGACCTATTAACGTAAAATATAAACAAGACATCGCCCTCGGTATAACTTACGTAAGCGTTACATAACCTTTAAATCTTTTGAATTATTCAATACAAAGATAATAAGAAATATAATTTCATTAATCCCACAAAATATTCTCAGTATATAACAGTTAATAATATATAATATATGATAATTAAATATAGTTAATGTAGGTAACGGTTTATAGACTACTAATAAGACTAGTAATCTATAGGAAATTACTTTTAAAGGCCCTATATACGGTTAGTTCTGAGGAAATAATACAAGTAGTATTCTATATAAAGCGTGTTTTATAACCGATTAAATAAAATCCACGTGATTTAACGGACTAGTTGTACGAGACCCAATCGTTAAATCATTGGATCGCAAATTATAAAGCACAATTAGAGTGCAATGAGGGGTGAAAATCGACTATTATCCGCTTTCAAGGAACCTCGTAAAGAAATTTGCCACAAAATATTTACGATAGAGCAAAAATTGGATGAAATACTCGTATATTGTAGAGCATAATATTATAAATGATGATAATATTTACCCACGCAAATTATCGAAATATTTTAGGAGAAGTTATAATATTAAATTAAAATATTAAACGGTGTAAAACTATCCACTATCCCATATTATTCCGTGAGTTAAAAGTCAAGTCAACCGACAGTAGCTTAATGGCAGGGCGCGGGCCACGAACTCAAAAAAGGTCGTGGGTTCACAAGCACTTTACAGAAGCAATTTAAGCTTACCACGAGTGGTTAAGGGGAATATTAGTAATGTTTATGGTATTGTTAATATTCTTAAAAAAAGTTAAAGCGAGACTTAAAAGGCAACAGATAGTTAACAGAAAGATAGTTAAGAGGGATTCAAATCAGGATATGGGCAACAGCGACTTCCTAATAACTACTTATAATATAAAATTGCGATTTCCAACCCAAGATATGCGTGGCAACTGTTGTAAATGTCCCCCTACAGGACAATTGAGGAGACCTCTGTTCATCAACAGAGGTCTCCTCAATTTTCCTATAGGGGGACATTAATACACTGTAAATGTAACGACATAACATTAAAGCACATTTTCTCACTCCCTCGTATTTGTGACCGAATATCAGCTTGAAATAGCAGGTAAACATTGCTGTGTTTCGTATGGTGAGTGTAGACAACCGGAGACTACCGGACTCAATGAAACGCCCACAGTTGAGTTTCGGAGAAAATTCAACCCAACGATACATTCCGGAAAGTAGGAGCCAGAGTGAGCGGCCTTCTTTTAGCGGTGAAAAGACACGCTTGTGTTTTAGTGTTGTTGAATCTCACGAGAATGGCATCGCCCCATTCGGAGACTGTCTGTAGTGTGAAATTCACGCGCTCAATCATAGCCTCTCTTTCGGACTGGATTTAATCCCTTTTTTATCGGTATCTCTCCACAACTGTGATATCTTCTGCATACCTATAGATATCGGGTATAAGCAAATCGTTAATATGCAGCAGGAAGAGAGTTGCGGAGAGAACACACCCCTGAGGATCACCGGCGTCATTCGCCACAGGATCGGAAGAGTAGCTATCGACGACGACCGGGAGAGACGGTTCACTCAGGAAATCCTTTATCCATTCAATCAGACCAGAGGATAAGCCGTACGTAGCAAGCTTACCCAAAAGGCTAGCGTGCCAAACTCTGTCAAAGGCCTTCGAGACATAAAGGGAAACAGCAAGTGCTTCCCCACTGTTTTCGAGTGCCTCGCCCCATACGTGTGTGGCATACGAGAAGGTCACCAGCTCACCGATTTCAGCGAAACCCGTATTACCGGTCACTAAGGAAGTCATTTTGTTCTAGGTATGCTATTAGCCGGGAGTTCAATATACGCTCCATAATCTTGCATAGTATGGAGGTAATTGAAATTGGTCGATAGTTGACAGGGTCGGCATGGCTACCTTTTTTTGACACAGGCTGCAGATTGGCCAGCTTCCAAGATTTGGGTACTATTCTAGTCCTAAATAAGAGGCGGAACAAGTGCGTCAACACAGGAGACAACTAGACGGCACAGACATTTAGAACTATAGCCGGTATACCATCAGGTCTACTAGCTTTGTTCACGTCTAGAATTTTTGCATTTGCATTTTGATTCTTAATTGAAGATAAATGTGGATGTCTATCGGCCACAGCATCCATTTACCATCAGGTGGACTGTGTGCTCGTTTGTCGCCTAATGCTATATAAAATCATCATTACTAGTTCCATTACTATGATTGTCATTAAAGCTACCATAGCACGCTGAATATCAAACAAATAGTAAACAT